GAAGAAAGAATTGGAAGAAATATATTTCATTACTTTTATAATTCACTGATGTATTGAAAGAGTTACGCATAGGCTCCAAGATAAACAAAAATAGAAATAAATTAATTAATTTCTTTTTTATTTAATTTTAATAGATTTAATTTTTAATTTAAGATATTTAATTTAATTGTTTCATTTTTTTAACATACTTGTTATTTTTTTTATAAAGATATCATTTAATACATTAATTCTTATTTTATCTTTATTTTAAAAAATTACAACATATATTAAATAATAAGTCAAATTTAAGTGGTATTTAATTAGAAATAAACATAAAATTTTATCAATAAATTACATTTGTATTATATTTTATTTTTTTTTAAACCTAAGCTTAATAAAGTTGGATGGATGGAGTATATTAATATCATCACTAATGTGATTAAGACTTCACCCATTCAATGAAACTCTTGAGAATCTTGCTAGAGGAACCACCTTCCTTGACACTAGTCCTAATTTTTTCCTTCAGTTCCAAAGCCTTTGCTTTAAGATTTTCATCGCCTAACAGTTTCTCCATCTTGGTCTCGATCTCTTCTTGTCGGATGATCCCACTTTCATCTTTCTCTAATTTCAATCCCACCTTCCAAATCTCACAAATGTAAATCTCGTTCATGAATTGGTCAACAAAGTAGGGCCAATGATGGAAGGGGACTCCGTTGCTTACACCTACCATGGTTGAATTCTAGTTGCAATGGCACATGAAGCAAGCAATGGAAGGATGACTCAGAACTGCTCGTTGTGGTGCCCAACCCACCATCTGACTGTGATCTGCTACTCTATCCCAAAACCCTTTTTGGTATGCTTCGTACCTCCCCTCTATTATGTTTGGTCTCACAATCCATAAGAATGGTTTGTTGGAGAGTTCAAGCCCCAATGCCAATTGACGGAACTATGTCTGATCAAGAACCGTCAAGCTACCGAATGCAACATATGCAATTGAGTCTGGTGGCTGTTGATCAAGCCACTTTCAATAAGAACTATCTTCCAACTAGAAATTTGCAACCAAAGTTCCAACTCCCTCGTATGCCCAAAGTGGGCCAATGGGCAAGACCTTTGGAGCCATGGTGGCTAATGCTCTAGTTCATATGTGGAATTGGAGAGTAGCCACTCTGCTTTCTTTGCAACTTTGATGTTCCTTTGGAAGAGGTTAAATAAAATTTTTTGGGTTGTGAAGCCCTCGACCGATACCCATGACAAATACGATGGGTTAAAGGCAGGAATTTCTAATAACAACTGAATCATCTCATGCTTAAATAGGGTGCCTATAAAGAAATTTTTAGGCTCTATTTGAGGAAATCTTGAAAAATATGCTTTTAAGATTCCTTTAATCTCACCGTTTTAATTAACAACTCCATTATGAATCATCATGGGGATGGCAAAGATTGAGGCTAAAGATAAGGCTAATGAAGGGAATAGAGCACCTGCCTTTATTCCCAGCTCCACTGCTACCTCTAATGGTCATCCTAGGGTCTTGTCAGTCAATAAGCATGTAACTTCATCACCATCTGATCTATTTATCTTGTTTATGAGTTACTTTAGCTCCACAGGCGTAAATTGGTAGATAGATTCAATCAATCTCCTTATTTGATCCCTGTTCTCATCCACACCCATCCCATCTGGGAGTGAGACAAAGTGAATTGATCCATTTTCACTTACCTTGCTTCCAAATGCATTCATGATTCACGATTCATTGATGTGAAATTTCAGTTTTCACAAAGGTGATTTTGATGCCATGTTTGACCAACAATTGTGAGAACTCTAAGAGAGGCCTCACATGGCGTTGAGTTGGATAAGGTATGACCAAAATGTGTGGATTGCTCATTTTATTGCTATCAACTGTGCCTTCTAGACTCAAGGTAGCTTTGTTTTGTAGTTGATATTTGTCTTCCACTCTTCCATACTTATACTGATCAACATTAATTAGATTCTAGTCCTTAGATGGAGCCATAAAGCGTAGGACAAGAAGGGAGCTTTCCACCTAAACTTTTGAAAAATGTCAAATTTAGTCGAAGACAAAGTGAACATAAGACAAGGTGGGCAGCCGCCCCTCTAAACTTTTGAAAAATGTCCCCTTAACTTTTGAAAAATGTCGAATGCAGTCGAAGATGAAGTCAGCATAAAACAAGGAAGGCAGCCGCCCCCCCTGAACTTTTGAAAAATGTCAAGCATAGTATATATATTGTTTGTTTTTCTTATATGTAAAATTTTAATCTTGAAGTTTAAATTATAGAGACCATTCAAATATAAGAAAAATATTTAAGATTTAGGTAAAGGGATCATTTTTTCTCTTTGTGAGTAATTCTTTTAAAGATATAATAATTTTATCTAGGTAAGAAAAAATATGAAAAAAAAAAAATCAAGATTTAGTTACATTGATATAATTTATATAAATTTTTATATTAATTGCATATAATTTTTATTGTTCAATTTATGTTTGGTTAAACTAACAGTTAAATTTATTCTATTCATCTAAATTATATATTTTATATTTAAAATTAATTTGATATATATAATCTTATGAAAAAATAAACTATATTATTTATTCTATTCGTTTAAGAGTATAAATTATATGCTATTTAAAAATAATTAAATATATTTAGTTAATTTAAAATTTGATGCAAATGATATAAGTAATATGTACATAAAATTAATGAGTAATTTAAAAATTAATAGTATAAATTATTTATCTCAAATAAACTAATAAATGATTTTAAAAAATTTTAAAATTTTACCAACCAAACATAAATTTGTGACTCCGTCCATGTTCCAGTCCCCAACCGTTGTATGTTTTAGGTAAGCCAATAGTGTTGTAGACATCATGGCGCACGCACCATGTAGTACGTCCTGCATTTTTGAATGTTTCTAATGGTTTTTAAACTCTGTTCATTGTACATAAAATGTTGTGGGTTTGTGATGTTTATGATGTAAAACATGATGTTATTATCTTTAAGAAGTTAAATATCAAACTTATTTCTTAACTTTTAATTTTAAACAATTTTAACCGCTAAAATATTTTTTACACTTTGTTTTTATGCCTCATAGTGTACTTTTTCTATCATTAACCCATTAAATTTAGGAAAAATTACTTAATAATGTGTTCATTAAATTTTTAATTTTTATTTGGTGAAAATTTATTTTCAAGTCTTTAATAAATAGAAATGCTGTAATTAAATTTATCATAAATATATCATAATTTTATGCTATATCCATCATATTCTTTTTGTGTAATAATTAAAATATTAAACTATCATTAATATTAATTACATATAATTACTAAAATTTTAAAAAATACAATAAAATTTCTCTCACTAGCTTATTTATCAGTATCAGTGTGCATAACTCAATAAATTTTTAATTATTTGATGTTTCCATTTTTTTAATTATTTCAATTAAAAATTAGT